AAGCATTCGGGGTATTGCTTTAAGAGAAATTCCTTTGACATTTCAGGCAGTTGTGTTGTGTCATTGCTTTGTGTTTTGATCTGGCATATGTCTGGCTGAGTGTTGCATTGACTGCAAGTTTCTTGACAAGTCTCTTTAATCAAGTTCAATTGACGTAGAGAAGGCAGACCGAGTAATGGGGTTTAATCAGTCTCGGTCACAAGAAATTGGGCTTGAGTCGCYTCGTGCCCATGGCTTATCATAGTAGTAAAGTGTTCTAGGTGTCTGAGTTCTGATCCACCATAGGATTTCACCTTGACTTTGGCAGGAACAATCTTAGTATCTTGTTTAAGAACTCCATTTTCATCAAATTCATTAGGGTAGAGTTGGCAATAGATTCTCTTGGATATTACACTGGTAGGTATACCGGTGTCAACTTTGCAGCGTAAGTTGTATTGACCCTTTTCTCCTTTAATTTTGACAGTGGCAAATAACTCTTCATTTATAAGACTAGAGTAGTGAAGTGTGTCAAATGTAATGGATTGATCATCTAGAGTGCAGTATTCAGCTGATTCATCAACATCAAGTGAATTAATTTTCTTTCTAGTACCTTGTGGACGTCTAGTTCCTTTTTGGCGGTATTGCTTAGTAATGCAGACTTTTTCCCAGTGTCCCTTCTTTCCACAGAAATTGCAGTTGTCTTTACTGGCGGGACACGTGGTCTCCTTCGAGTGAGATAATCCACAGTTTAGACATCCTTGTTCGTGTTTAGGACGTGTAGATGACGATTTCTGAGAGTAATGTTGAGCTTTGGGAGTCGACTTCATTGAATTAATGGTTTTGGTTTCTTGAAGCGCGTTGACATGTTTTTGTGTAGCTTCCTCAGCACGTGCGATCTTCATGGCGTCGATGAGTTTAAGAGTGCTATCTTTATATTGTAGGACGTCAAAATAATTTCAACTTTATACCTCCTTTGACACACAGAAAACACAATGTTTGAGGAAAACTAGTTTCGTCTATTCGACCTTATCAATTCCTCTACAACTGTTGTATACGATAAGCGCGCTTACATTTGAAATTTTACAAACAGCGCGCGTAAATTACGTAGCGCGAGCTAAAGGTGTTACAAAACTGTGGTGAAGAACAAAGATTACATTAGCTAAGAAAGTTCTATGTTGGCACGTGGAATTCTTACATTGTTCCACTCATTCTTATTGTTCATGGTTCTACCTCCACACCTCCTTATCTGGACCGCCTCTGTTATCTGCCTCAAGGTTGCATCTCCATTAAACACGTCAGTGACCCTCATCTTAAAGGCTTGTGMTACTCCTGAATGTTTCTCTTCAAAATGCATCTTCAAAACCGACCTCTCATTTGATGCCTCCAAGTCACCTGACTCTCGATTGAAGAAGATGCTAGAGAACGATATCAAGAATTCCAACGTGAAGATCAAGGTTGTGGAGAAGGTAGAGACCAGCGTAAAACGTGTTCTGCAGAGGTCCAACCCCTTTACGAGAAAGGTATGCGGTAGAGAGGATTGTGTTGTGTGCAAGACGGATCAGTCTGGTCGGTGCCAAACACAAGGAGTGACATATGAGATTGCATGTGCAGGCTGTGAATGCAAATACGTAGGTGAAACATCAAGGAGCGCATACACACGAGGGAAGGAACATGTCAGAGACTTGGAGGCATCAAATGAGAGGTCGGTTTTGAAGATGCATTTTGAAGAGAAACACTCAGGAGTAGCACAAGCCTTTAAGATGAGGGTCACTGACGTGTTTAATGGAGATGCAACCTTGAGGCAGATAACAGAGGCGGTCCAGATAAGGAGGTGTGGAGGTAGAACCATGAACAATAAGAATGAGTGGAACAATGTAAGAATTCCACGTGCCAACATAGAACTTTCTTAGCTAATGTAATCTTTGTTCTTCACCACAGTTTTGTAACACCTTTAGCTCGCGCTACGTAATTTACGCGCGCTGTTTGTAAAATTTCAAATGTAAGCGCGCTTATCGTATACAACAGTTGTAGAGGAATTGATAAGGTCGAATAGACGAAACTAGTTTTCCTCAAACATTGTGTTTTCTGTGTGTCAAAGGAGGTATAAAAGTTGAAATTATTTTGACGTCCTACAATATGAAGTTTAGAAACTCCTTTAAGGTCCAAGTCCGACAAATTTCAAGTGCTATCTTTGGTAAGTAATTTCCTTCGAAGATCATTTGATAGAACTCCAAAGATGAGTGCATCGATGAGTTGTTCTTCCTTGTCTTTATACTCGCAATCGTCGACGAGTATTCTGGCTCTGGTCATGAAACTGTCCACTGTTTCGTCTGGCATTTGTTTAAGTTCTCGAAGTTGAGCTCTGGCTACTCGAAAGTTTGACTTCGGTTTGACGTATRATTGAAGTTTTGACCAGTAGTTTTCTAGCTTCTTGCTTTCGTCTGTTGAAAAGTTGAATCCTTCAATGATGTCCTGTCCTTGATCACCAAGGAATATTTTGAGGTAGTGGACTTTGACCTCTTCTTGTTGGTCATTCAACGGTCCGGCGAACACGCTTTCGCAGTTTCGCTTGAATTTACGAAACGTTTCTGGCAGATTTCCGGCTGTCCAGTCCATGGACGGCATCGGTAAGCCTCGCAGCTTATCCATGGCAAACTACTAATTGATTGACTTGAATATTTCTGGAAAAACGTGATGATTTCGGCGAGAAAATCCTCAACGTTCTGACACCATGTTGAAGTGGTCGAGCGCCATGTTTATTGACTGATTCGCATGACTGGTTTACAGGATTACGTCATTATAACTATGCATATAATTATGTATATCATAACAAACATACATTATCTTGTTGTCTTAAGTCCAAATTTGGAGAAATTTCATTGACRCTACATCTTGTGAGGTCTTATTTTCAAGATGTTTTAAAATCACTGTACAGTAAAACTCGTGATTTTATCTGAAAATTTTCAACTTACCCSGCTACATTATCGGCCTTCTAGAACACAAATTCTAAAATATTTAGGATACTACGCGCGCTGTGATTGGCCGAAAACCATGTTTGATTACAGTATCAAAACACGCTCGCGCGCGTCAAAAATTTCTTTTATTCTTTTAATTTTAGAAAAGAAATAAAAGACGGAATTCCGTGTTTGATACTCTGRTCAAAACACTTGGGATCAGAGTATCAAACACAGAATTTCGTCTTTTATTCCTTAAGTAAAATTTGCAACACTTGTCCGTACATTGTCTCGCACACTTCCATTGTTGGTCCTATCGTCACTCAGAATCACTGATCACTTTGAATGTACCAACTCTAATGTTGTCTATTGCATTAAATGTTCGCTTTGTAATTTGTTGTATGTCGGCAAGACTGGCCGTCGTCTTGGCGATCGTATCTGTGGACATCTTTATAGTATTCGTARTAATAATCTTAATAAGCCTGTTTCCCGCCATTTTAATCTACCCAACCATTCACTTTCTAACTTTATTGTTTTTGGTTTGTCTTTGATTAGCGGCAATAATAATGATTGTCGCAAAACCAGAGAAATGCGACTCATTCACCAATTGGGCACTTATAACTKTTTCTTTAGAAACACCGACGCAGCTAAAACTAGTATACCGCTAGTTCCCACCATCTTAATTTTTTTGGCACGATACTGGAACCGGCACGATATTGGGCAACACACTGTTAGGAGAAATTCAGGAAAAAAAGAACTCTCCAGGCAAGGAGTACTTTCTAAGAATTTTTGTCAGAAAAATAAAAATTTCCGTTTTTGACCTTAAAAACGTTTGCCAGGGGCAAAAATGGCAAAAACTGTTTTAAAGAAGGAAAGGCGCCACATTTGCTTTTGAGATTGTCAACAATGTAGCTCAAAATCCCTTTCTCAGAAACAAAATCCGTACAAGARCAGTTATTCAGAAGAACAGACCCCGTCGGCTCCTCCTGCACTGTAATCTTTATTATTCCATGCAGCTGATCATTGAGCTTTAACAACAACACTTTTGTGTCAAGAAAGGTTATTGAGTTGTTGTTTGTGGCTACTTCATGTGTAAATTTGATTTGGCTAACACTCCCTTACAAAGCGTAGGACAATAGACGAGGCGTTATGCATCAAACAATACTATTATCCTAGCTTGAATGAACAAAATTACACCGTATCTTTTTCTTACTTAACTAATTTACATGTTAACTCAGATTCACTTTAGTTGTACACGTCTACTGATGATGGCTAAGATTAAAGACGATGAAAATACTTCTAGTTTACTACTTTACAATTATGAAATGCTTTGAATGTTAACAAGAAGAGCATCGAAGAACTTCCGAATTTCTTTGCTTAATATAGATCATCATGTTCGGCCGATAACTTCGACTCCTTTAAAGCAATGAATAGCGGAGCACCATAACTAAGAAATAATGGTATGTCCATCGAGTCCATTTTTCATGGAGCGACACAGGGTTCCTACAGGAAACCCATACTTCCCTCGAAAAGGAAAAAAAGCGCCGAAATATTTGTTGGAACATCTAAATTTTTTTCCTCAAAAATTTATCTTATCAAAAAATACATTGGAGAGCGAAATCAAATCACAGAAATATTCCCGCCAATTTTTGTCATAAGCCAAGAGAAAATGAGGTAAGAGAAGGAATCCCTGGTACTGCGTTCTAACCCATCATATCAGCCCTTCGTTCTATTTTTAGAAAAAGAGCTATTTTTAGAAATGGAACATGATTGGTCAGATCGTATGCAGCGAGGTCGCTCAGCCGTTTGTGGTAAGGCGCGAGAAAATAATTCAAAATGGAGGTCGAGASAGAGATTACTTTTGTGAACGAAAACGATTTGATATTAAGCGGTAAATGCAGAGGAAGAAGGAGAAAGCAGTGGTTTTGGTTTATAAATGGTGAAAGTGTCGGGCTGGGTCACGAAGATACTGATACGTCTGAAGTTGAAGACATCAATGAATCATGTGAAAGTGATGTGCTTTCGTCGAGTGATGTGTCTTCGAGAGGTCAGAGAATTCAAAGGTCAGATTGTCGATCTAATKTCATGTCACATTACCTTCAGAAGCTGATTCTTCTTCGACACTTTCAAGTTTTCTTTGTTTTAAAGAAGATTCCTTTCTTCAAGAAGTTTCCTTTTTWAAAGCGAATTTCGTAGCTTTTCTCGAACAGTATTTGACATTCAGTTTTTGGCGATGAAAAATAGCCGATAAACGAGTAGTGGGGCTTGGTAACAAACTAAAAATAGCTCTTTTTCTAAAAATAGAACGAAGGGCTGATATGATGGGTAACAGGGATTCCTTCTCTTACCTCATTTTCTCTTGCATAAGCTTAAATGACGCGTGTGCACATCCGGGAAATTTTCGAAAGATGAAAAGCAATTTATTTTCAAGCGTTTTAGGTCCACTTTTAGTAATAAGAAAAAAGGAAAACAGGATGACCTTTTGCTTTGATATTTCGACAACAAGAGAAAGATGTACTGTATTGGAAATACTGCAATAATATGGGGAAAAGCAACGATCTCTGTGAACTTCTCTTGTCAAAATTTTGAAATTAAGACCATGCTAGCAGCACTAGATTGATGAGAGATTAAAAACAACAACTTCGGTATGTAGAATTGTTTATAGAACGCTAATTACGTCCGTCCCCTKGTGACTTCGAGAGTATCTATGCGAAAGGATACATCAAGTATACTTTCTCTCCCCCATCCCCCAAAAGGTTTTGGCGCAAGCCAATGGTCTATTGTGTAAAACACGCGTCTTTTGCTAACAATAGGCACTTGAGTGCTTAAGCTTTGTATACGAGCACGGGTTTAAATTTTAGCAATGTTCGTTCATTACTCTACGTAAGGACGGGGGGGGGGGGGGGGGGGGGGGGGGGTAAGGAGGAAAAAAATCTCAAAACTGCTTGAGAGTAGATTAATTTGAGAAAAAACACGGACCAATTTAATAAAGAATAAAATGATATTCTTTACATTACAATATCAACATTTTTCAGGCTTACTCAACACTAGTATGCACTTAGAGCAAATATTTTCCCCGTATGGACTTACATAACTCTGTCAATATATTATTTTATCATATGACAAATATTTTACTCGGTATAAGGTATCTTTTTGAGATGATTTCAAACAGCGGGTCCCGACGTGTTTATACGGACCCAGTTAAAACAATAAGCCGTACAGACCCCATCTCGTGATTTTTTTCCCGAAGGTTTTCTTAAGAGCGCGCGCCCGGCAAAACACGATTCATATGATTACGGTATATCAATTATGCAAACGTCTCAGCTGCAAACGCTTTCGGTTTGTTAAGTACGCACAAGTTTGTACGACAATAGGCAGAAATGGTCTCTTGTGGCTGAATATAGAGGACGTTGCCCGATAGACCTTGAGATAGCCTATGGCATTTTCAACTTTTGCTCGTATTTTTCTAAATTCTCTATTGGCATCTATAGTTCGTCTATTTCTCGCACGACGAGCCCGAATAATTGGTCTCCTTGCAGTATATCCTTTGTCAGCACCTATGCGATATTGCATGGGAAGTCTACAAACACCATTTGGACCAATGGACGGGATCATTCTATAAGTTTGAGCGTCGTTCATGCAAGTGACCTGGAAATCTGAACAAATTATTATTTATTGAGAAGTTATTTTCAATACTCTGGAATTTATTATGGTGGGAATGACGGCATACACATATATAAAAACGAATTTACTTACCCGGATACTATAAGAACTATCAGACCAGTGGGATC